TACACAGATTCATCCATTACTAGACTCGTCCGGAAGAAGACGGTTTGTGCAAACCCTAAGCCTTCTGTTCTTGATCTTAACTTGCCTTCAATCACAATCCCAAACCTTGCAAAAGAAGTTACTATCACTAGAACCGTTACCAACGTTGGACCAGTAGGGTCAGTTTACAAGGCTGTGATTGAGGCTCCGATGGGTGTTAACGTGACCGTGACACCGAGGACATTAGTGTTCAACGCTAAGACCAGGAAGCTCTCGTTCAAGGTCCGTGTGATAACGAACCACAGAGTGAACACTGGCTACTACTTTGGAAGCTTGACTTGGACTGACTCTGTTCATAATGTGGTCATTCCTGTGTCTGTCAGAACTCAAATCTTACAGCGTTATTACGATGAGAATTGATTTTTTAATTTGTTTTGATTTCTTGATTAGATTGTAATTGTGTTGATTATTGATTAATAATACATATAACATTGGTATTGAATATTCATCCCATCTACTAAAAAAACTTATGAGTAAGTTTCTTGGGGAAGAAGAAAAAAAAATATAGGGCAATTAATATGGCACTGATAAAAAAGGTGATAAGAGAACAAAGTAATAATATCCTCCAATGAATTTTTTAGTCTATAAATAATCTTACTTTGTTTGTTTGTATAAATAATCTACACAAATTTTGGGTCTAAATGGTAACCGAGAAATTCGGCTGAATCTTGCTGAATTTATTTGTGATTTATTGCGGAATCTGGCTGAATTTTTTGAAAAAATTAATTAATCAAATAAAATTCTAAAATTTTAGTTAGAAAAAAAAAATTCCAACAAAATTAGTTAAAAACAAATAATGAAAAACTTGTAACTTGTACAAAATAAGGTGGATTTTCGAAGAAATTTAAAATTTATTATATTAGACATATAATCAAGTTACCCAAACACGAATCTGATTTATGTCTTTAAATCAATTAAATTCTCTAAAATATCTAAAAGTTTTTAAAAGTACAAAAAATCGAAATTTTATATTAAAAGTTTTATCAAACATAATTATTATACATTTTGGTGATTTTTGGTGAAATCTAAAGTTAATATAGATGATAATTAATCAAACATAATTATTATTTTTAAACATACACTCTTAAAATTAATTTTCATTTTTGATAAAAATGAAATTATTATATATGTCTAATATATTTTTACTAATAACTTTTACTATTGAAGTTAAATATTTCTAGTTTCAAGACTAATTTAATTTTTAATTTAAACAAAAAAAAACTAACAAAACAAAATTCCTCAAGAATTCCTCAATTCTTCAAATGATGTAACATTATTTTTTTCCACCAAAATTCCTCAACAATTCCTCAAAACTAATGTTACCATTTACACCCTTTGCCGTGCTTAGAAAAATACACCAACTATTTGTTTTACCTATTTCAATACTCAAAATCTCGTTATCGGATTTTAAGTTTGATATTCACAGTGCTTAACACTGTTTGTTATTTCATTTAGATTCTAACCCGAATTACGAAAAATTAATCTATATGCTCAAAGATTCATCCTACTAAATTAGGAAAAATCATCATATCTAATTAATCTCTAAATATGTAACTCTAATTTTAATAACTTCAAGAAAAAGAGAGAGACAAAGATTTTTAATTCGGTTAATGCCATTCATATATGTTGAAAACTGAGTATACAGTTCAGATTTTAGGTTTTAGAATGAATAACAAAATACGGATTTTTTTTATTTTTATAACATAATAGATTTATATTATTTTCACGCATTGTAAGTCTTCCTTCTCGATTTATTTTGGTTTATGTTGTTCAAATCATGTAAATAAGAAAAAAAAAAAAAAACAGGATAATTATGGACGAAGATAAAAATAAATTAAAATTGCAAAGAGGTTTCGTAGTTCAAAAGAAAGAAAACACAAACATATATCAAAAATATATATTTTCCTTTTTATATAACTAGATATGGACCCGTGCGTTGCACGGGTTACCGGTCGAAATTGTTATTTTTAATTTTTATTTTTGTAAGCTTAACTAAAATAATATAAAAATATATTTAAATTTAGAAAATGAAATATTTTAATTATTTGTTAAATATAGATTAATTGTGCATAATGTGCAATATAAAATACTATTTGTTTTTGTTTATTATATGTTATAGAATGATATTTAATAAATGTTTATATATATATATATATATATTATTGAATTTTAATAAATTATCTACATCCATCGGAAGTGTATATAACACTTTCTAATTTCAATGTGGGCTTCTAATTTAAATGTGGGCAAGATGTAAAACAAAATTGTGATAATATGAGACGGTCTATATCCGCATCATGTAACTTTACTTAATTGATAATATGAAAAATCGTCAAAAAAAAAAAAAAAAAATTCATAAGGAATTAGAGAATATCCACTAAATAACGTAAGACTAAATAAAAGTTAAGAAAATAATATTAACTAAACAATGTCTATTTGCTATATGGTTTTTATCAATTCTTGACCCATATTACTCATGAGTTATTCGTTGTCTCTTTTTTCTTTCTTCTCGCCGGCGAGAAATCTCGAATCTCTCTTTTTTCTCTCATTAGATTTCTATTATTTTTGCTCTACCTCCTCTTTCTTTTTCTTTCTTTTCCTCGGATTTCATCACCACTATAATTTTTTTCTTTTTCCATATCACTATTTCTCTCGTTCGTTGGGCATCACTACCGAGTCTCACTATTCCGACCCACCAGGTCACCACCACAACTGAATCTCACAACTATCACAATCATCATCACCATCAATACTAAATCTCGCTAATTCCGACCCACCCACCTTCATCAATATTTACCTCCACCACCACCAAACTTGAACAACCGTCATCAACACCAACACCACAGTTACCGCATCTTCCTCTCTTTCTCCAACTGCTCTTATTTCTCCACTTTCTTTATCTTCTCCGACATCGGGTCGAGCTTCTTCGACAACAACTCTATTTTATATCCATCGCCGTTAATAATTCTTAATTTACCTCAATCGCCATATATTTTTAATTTGTCTATCTATCTATTTGTTTATCTATAGAGGTGAGTATTTAGAATCCTTTTTCTTGTAAGATTAATAATTGGTTATAAATTTTTTTTAATTATCATATTATACAATAAGATTGTATAATTTCATAAATCTTTTTTAATTTTAAGAAAAAAATAATTTTTTCTTTTAAAATTAGTAGCTTTAAATTAGAATTAGTAAATAACTTTTTAATTTCTATTTTTATTTAATAAGAAACATATAGTTTTCTTATAATTATCTTCTTTACTTTTTGAAAATTGTTTTTTATAAGATATATAAGTAAAGTTGCCTTATATTTTTTTCTTATATTTATATTTTTCCTTATATTTATCTTTTTTAGATTTTTAGAATTTTTTTATATAAGATATATACGTATAATTTCCTTAAAAAAATTTTTCCTAAACAAATATATTTTTTGCTTTAATTTTTAAAATAAATAAAAGGATTTTTTTTTAACATATGTCAAAATCTGAGATTGATAAATTTGACTTGTGGCACGATCTTATGAGTTATTAACTTTGAAAATCATACTTTATATAATAAGATAATCGGATTTAAATAAATAAAAGAAAAAAAAATCGTAGAAGAAAATCTCGAAATTTAACAAATAGATTTCAAATCTTAATTTGAGGTTGAATGGGATTTTGAACGTAAGACTCTATATATAGTAATAGAACACAAAGATTGACTAACAAATTGTGTGACAATATTTTTTTTTTTTTTTTTTGAATATCATTGTGTGACAATATTTATCATCAAGGAGTAGAGAAAAATGGTGGCTGAATCTAAAACATGGTGAGTGAATCGGTGATTTTAGTATATAATTCTGATGGTGTAAATGGCTATTTGAATTTCTTACTAATTGCATATGATTTTTTTTTTTTTTTTGCATGGAAGGTCCTGGCATGAAAAGCTATACATCATCATGATGCACGTACTCATCGTGTCATCCGGTCTGGCAGCGTTCTTGTTCATAAGACTCAACAACATCCCCTTGCTGTTATGTCCAAACGTTGGGGTATTGGTGCTCTTGATGCTATACAGCAGTACTGGTTTTCTGGGATCTACGGATGATTGTTTCTTCGACCTCCAATGCTTGAGTCATGTCTTTGGGCTCGCTCTCGTCTTCCATCTCCTCTATAATTTCTCCCATGCTCCGATGCTCGCACTGTGGATCGCAATACCTTCTTCCGTGTGTTTGATTACCCTCTGTTCTACATGTCACAGTGTTACGGAGAGGGACTTGCTAGGTGTTTTCAATGCTTCAACTTAATTGAAAACTAGGCAATATTTTTTTTCGAATTTGACTAGGGAGGAGGCGTTGTGAATTCAGAAAAAGCCTCGAAACCCGGTCTTGTTTACGATATGGGAGTTAACGATTACGTTCTCTAGTACTTGTGCTATGTTTGGTTACAAAGATTTATCCATTACTAGACTCGTCCGCAAGAAGACGGTTTGAAAAACCCTAAACCTTCTGTTCTCGATCTTAACTTGCCTTCAATCACAATCTCAAACCTTGCAAAAGAAGTTACTATATCACTAGAACCGTTACCGATGTTGGACCAGTAGGGTTGGTTTTATAAGGCTATGATTGAGGCTCCGATGGGTGTTAACGTGACCGTGACACCGAGCACATTAGTGTTCAACACGCTAAGACCAGAAAGCTCTCGTTTCAAGGTCCGTGTGTTAACGAACCAAAGAGTGAACACTCGCTACTACTTTGGAAGCTTGACTTGGACTGAGTCTGTTCATAATGCGGTCATTCCCGTGTCAGTGAGAACTCAGATCATGCAGCGTTATTACAATGAAAACTGATTAGGTCTTTGTATTAATTCGAAAATCTTGCAACTATAACTTTAGATTCTGCACTCCCAATATGATTGATGTGGTTGTTAATATTCACACCTAAGTTTATTCCTAAGTTTCTTGGGGAAGAAGAAAAGATCAAATAATATGGGTTGAGAGATCCAAACGCAGAGGGATCACCTTTGACTTATTAATGCTTTATTCGCACAAACACATATTTTAAGATCCATAAATAATCAGTTCTCATCATAGTAGTTTTGCAGAATCTGCGTTCTCACAGACAGAGGAATGACCACATTATGGACAGAGTCAGTCCAAGTCAAGCTACCAAAGTAGAATCCAGTGTTGATTTTGTGTGTGGTCGAGACAAGAACCGTGAAGGAGACACTTTTGGTTTTGGAGTTAAAAACTAGTGTCTCAGGCGTCACAACCACTCTAACCCCAAGAGGAGGCTCGACCGCGACTTTGTAAACCGAGTTAGATGGTCCCACGTTAGTGACGGTTCTGGCATCAGTGACCTCGTCTTTGAGGTTTGGAATGGTGATTGAAGGCAAATTGACATCAAGAACGGAAGGTTTGGGGTTTGAGCAGACAGTTACTTGGCCGACAAGTTGAGAGATAGATGACTCGTTGTAATCGGCAGAACATAAGTAGAGAATGTAGTCTTGCGGACCCATGTCGTATATGAGACCGGGTTCTGCAGCTTTCTCTGGGTTCACAAGGCCTCCACCATAATCGAACGGATCAGCTACTTTGCGAGATGACCCTTCTGCAAAAATCTGTTCTCCAAATGGATCTGTCCTCCAAGCTGCAAAGTAAAGACAACAGTTATTGAGTGGAATAGGGATTCAAGATTCGATAGTTGGAAAAGAACCTGTAGTGACAATGGCTGATCTAAAAGCAGCAGGAGACCAATCAGGATGCAAAGCTTTGAGAAGTGCAATAACTCCTGAGATAACTGGAGTAGCCATTGACGTTCCTGAAAGCATAGCAAATCCACCGACATTTAAGGTGTCATTGGGAGATGTAGCAGCTAATATCCTTACTCCTGGTGCTGCTATGTCGGGCTGTATCGCGGCGAAAATAGAGTTTCTTATGATTTTAAACAATTAGATATTGCAGAATTTCTTGATGACAAGTTTAAGGCATACTTTTAGTATCGCCGGGGACATCGAGTTAGGTCCTCTTGATGAGAAGTTTACCACCTTTGTCCCAACTGGTTGTCCAGAGAGTGTTGTAGAAGGTTGTATCTTCACAACAGGTGATCTGTAGTCTTTTTCTTAAGATTCTCTGTTTCTGTAAGAAGTAAATATCATAAATTCATAGTTACATACCTGGTGGAACGTATGTAAGAAAGTATATCGGTCCCGAGCTCGTAGTCAATGGCAACACATGGGAAATCATCGTTACATGACGCGAGAGTGAACGCCGGGTTTCTTGAGATGATCAAGCCAAGACCACCAGCTGCCTTCACAAAAGATGAAGCTCTATATATTGCAGCGTTAGTTCTTGAGGTTGTGAAACACAACACAACTTTCCCGGCCATTGTACGGTTAGGGTTGAGATTAAGGGACTCACACACACTGCAAAATGTTATAGACTTAGAAAATGATGCTCTTCAATGAAAACTGAACAAATGTTCTTGTTACTTACCCGCTAAAGGTCTCATTACTGTTCCTTTCATCCTCTGGGTAAAACAAACTAGTTAAGCCAAGTTCCGGACCTGTGTACGTTGCTTGACCCTGAAGTAAGATCAAAAATACTCATAATCAGAGAGTTCCATTGAAAATAGTAACAAAAACGCATGCGAACATCAACTCTGCTTTACCAAGATCACTTTATTGTTCCCAAGTGTAATAGGAGTGGGAAAGGACCGGTCTAGAGTGGTTGCAGCCACTGTTATGATCCAAGGAGCTATGTTTACCACAGTCTGAGCTGCTGGACCAGCGTTACCACCTGCACAAACAACTACAATGCCCTTCGCCACAGCATGGAATAATCCAGTAGCAAACTCATCACGTAGATCGGTTTCAGAATTCAGAGGAACTCGACCAACAAGAGAGATTGACAAAACATCAACACCATCATGCATAGCTTCATCAATTGCTTTCATGATGTCAGAATTTGAACAAGTAACTCCTTCTAGCTCTTCCTGAAACCAACAAGCCTTGTACATTGCTACACGAGCACGAGGTGCACCACCTCTCAAGGTTCCTCCAGCAAGGCCTTTATAGCTTACGTTGGGAACAAATGAACCACCCGCAATGGAGGCGACATGCGTGCCATGGCCATCAAAGTCTCTAGCGGAAATGTAGTCAGGGGATTTTGTGGAGTTGAATCCTTTGTTTTTAGCAAGAAACCCGTTGATAAAGTACTTGGCTCCTATGAGCTTTCTATTGCAATTTGTTGATCTGAAGTTTTCTCCTGATTCACATCCTCCTTTCCATTTCCGTGGTATTGGTCCAACCCCATTATCATTAAATGATTCAGACTCTGGCCACACTCCTACAACCACAAGTCATTGAGGCGGTTAAGGAAGAAATCAAAAGAAACAGAAACAAAGATAAAATCTACAATGTGATATTATACTTATTACCTGTGTCAATAACGCCAATGATAACTTGGTCACCCATGTTTGTATCATTTAGGAGATTCTTTGGATTGGCAGCAGAAAGGCCTAAGTAGTCCCATGTCCGTGTTGTCGCGAGTTCATGGAAACCATCCGGTATGACATGAACAACTTCAGGTAAATCTGTTTCCAGAAACAGCAATGAAAACATTCAGCTAGTCTTGCTCAGATAGTAAAACTAGTGTTAGTTTATATCACATACTTAGAATCCTAAGAATCAAAGACAAGGTGTGTGACACTTAAGACATCCTGTGAGTACCAGCGATTTTTTTGGCTTGGGACTTGGTGAGCTTGGCCGCAAAACCTGAAAAGCCATGTCGGTAACTATACACCATTGAGTCATCAGCATCCTTTTTACTGTGACACAAAATAAAACTCTTGGTAAAAAGCTTGAGACATAATGCAACCCACACGAACTGAATAATTGATCAATCAGCTATCTTTACCTTCCAAGAAGTGACACAAGCATTTGGTGATGAGATTTTGTGACAAACTCAGGATCATGATGCTGCTTCTCGCCGAGATACACTATATGAACCTATTTGATTATCATCACAACACAACCAAAAGTTGGTCTTAACCGATTATTTGTTTCACTTTTTTGCTGTTTGATAGAAAAAGAACAACTTACCTTGCTCTCAGAACCAGCTCGTGCGGCATTCAGAACTGTTATAAGACTAAGCACCAAGAGAATGGATGATCTGCAACTCCTCATTCCCGACAAAAAATAGTAGTGTTTCATTTTCTTTCAATCTACTTGAATAGTTTTAAGGAAGCACTAACATACTATATAGAAACGTGATTTAGTTTATATGCAATTGGAGGCTGAGACGAAAATTCAAGAAATGGAAATGTCTTGGTCAAGCACATATTTATTCTTTGTGTGGCCAAGAATGCTTTTGTTTTCTTTGTGTGGTCTTATTTATTCTAGATGATCAAGAGACCTTAACAAGTTATAATTTCAAAGTATCTGCAGTACTTTCCTTCTATGTTCCATACCAATCCATGACATTCAAAGGTATTATCAGACATAGCACCACAAGAACTGATGGTCTAAAATTCCTCATTCCAAGCAAACAAAAATGTTTCGTTGCGGAAGCACGAGCATTTATACATCGATGTCTGATATCTCCCTCAAAGAATGTTTACATTTAAAACAAAATGACGAAATCCACTGCGTAACGCATGGCCAAGGAGGAAGAGATTGAATACAATTTATCCAGGGTAATAAATATCTAATAAGAATCTATCAGTTCTCATCGTAATAGTTTTGCAGAATCTGCGTTCTCACAGACACAGGAATGACAACATTATGGACAGAGTCAGTCCAAGTCAAGCTACCAAAGAGGTATCCAGTGTTGATTTTGTGTTTGGTCGAGACACGAACCCTGAAGGAGACACTTTTGGTTTTGGAATTGAACACTAGTGTCGCGGGCGTTACAGCCACTCGAACACCAAGTGGAGGCTCGACCACGACTTTGTAGACGGAGTTGACTGGTCCAACGTTAGTGACAGTTCTGGTGAGAGTGACTTCGTCTTTGAGGTTTGGAATGGTGATTGAAGGCAAGTTTATATCTAGAACAGAAGGTTTGGGGTTTGAGCAGACTGTTACTTTACCGACAAGCAGAGAGATAGATGACTCGTTGTAACCGGCAGAACATAAGTAGAGAATGTAGTCTTGCGGACCCATGTCGTATATAAGACCTGGTTCTGCCGCTTTCTCTGGGTTCACGAGGCCTCCCCCATAATCAAACGGATCAGCTACTTTTTGAGATGACCCTTCCGCAAAAATCTGCTCTCCGAATGGATCTGTTCTCCAAGCTGCAAAATATAGAAGATTATTGAGTTAAAGAGGAATCCAAGTTTCTCTTCTGCTCGATTGTTTTCTAGTTGAAAGAAGATAAAGAACCTGTAGTGACAATGGCTGATCTAAAAGCAGCAGGAGACCAATCCGGATGCAAAGACTTGAGAAGTGCAATAACTCCTGAGATAACTGGTGCCGCCATTGATGTTCCTGAAAGCATAACAAATCCACCGGCGTTGAGGTTTTTATTGGGAGATGTAGCAGCCAAAATGCTTACTCCTGGTGCTGTTATATCAGGCTGCATTGTGAAACAAATTAGAGATATTGCAGAAAATATGATAGGGTCAGAAAATAAAGATCCATACATACTTTTAGAATCGCTGGGGAAATCGAGTTAGGCCCTCTTGATGAGAAAGTTGCTACCTTTGTCCCAACAGGTTCTCCCACGAGTGTTCTAGAAGGTTGTATCTTCACAACAGGTGATCTGTATGTAATATTTTTCTTATGATTATGTGTTTCTTGGAAGGGAATGAAACAACTGAGCATGTGCTACTGTAAGAAGTAAGATCATAATTCATAGTTTCATACCCAGTATAACGTATGTAGAAAAGTATATCGGTCCCAAGCTCATAGTCAATGGCTACACAGGGAAAATCATCACTACATGGAGCGAGATTGTACCCCGGGTTTCTTGCGATAATCAGTCCAAGACCACCGGCTGCCTTCACAAGAGACGCAGCTCTGGATACAACAGCGTAATCTCTTGCTGTTGTGAAACACAATACAACTTTTCCTGCCATTGTATGGTTAGGGTTGAGATTAAGGGACTCACACACACTGCAAAATGTTACATATTCAGTAAGATATCAGAGAATAATTTTCTTTAGTGAAAAATGAACAAATGACTAAGCAAGCACCAAGAGATTTGTTATCATTAATTACCCGCTAAAAGTGTCATAACTGTTCCCTGGATCCTCGGGGTAAACCAAACTAGTGAAGCCAAGTTCCGGACCTGTGTACATTGCTTGACCCTGCAGCAACAATACCCATAGTCAGAAAGTTCCAAGGATTAACTTGTTTTGTTGATTAAAGAAAAAGCAGAAAAACGTTTGTAGAAGAGCTACTCTATTTTACCAATATCACTTGATTGTTCCCAAGTATTATAGGTGTAGCAAAGGACCGGTCTAGAGTGGTTGCAGCTACAGTCACAATCCAAGGAGCCGTGTTTACCACAGTCTGAGATGCTGGGCCAGCATTACCACCTGCACAGACAACTACAATGCCCTTTGAGACTGCATGGAATGCTCCAGTAGCAATCCCATCACGTAGGTCGGTTTCAGAATTTAGAGGAATTCGACCACCGAGAGAGAGTGACAAAACATCAACACCATCATGTATAGCTTCGTCAATTGCTTTCATGATGTCAGAAAATGAACAAGTCACTCCGTCTAGCTCGTTTAGATACCAACAAGCCTTGTACATTGCTATGCGAGCACGAGGTGCACCACCTCTCAAGGTTCCTTTAGCAAGGCCTTTGTAGCTTACATTAGGAACTAATGAACCACCTACAGTGGAGGCGACATGTGTGCCATGGCCGTCAAAGTCTCTGGCGGAAATATAGTCAGGGGATTCTGTGGTGTTGAATCCTTGGTTTTCAGCAAGAAATCCGTTGATAAAGTACTTGGCTCCTATCAGCTTTCTGTTGCAATTTGTTGATATGAAGTTTTCTCCTGGTTCACAACCTCCTTTCCAATGGCTCGGTATTGGTCCAACCCCATTGTCATTAAATGATTCAGACTCTGGCCACACTCCTACAACCACACAATACCGTAAGTCATTGATGCGCTAAAATGAAGAAATCAAACACAACGGAAACAAAGATAAATTTAGAATGTGATGAAAACTATTGTTGTATACCTGTGTCAATAACACCAATGATAGTTTGATCACCCATGTTTTTATCATTTAAGAGATTCTTCGAATTATCAGCAGAAAGACCTAAGTAGTCCCAAGTCCGCGTTGTTGCAAGTTCATAGTAACCATCCGGTATGACATGAATAACTTCAGGAGAATCTGTAATTTCCAGAATAAAAAGTGCATCAGCAATGAAAACATTCAGCTAGTCTTGCTCAGACAATCAAAGTATTTGAATGCTAAGAAGGCTTAGACATGGATCTGAGTTAAGACAGCAATAAGTACCAGCGATTTTCTTGGCTTGGGACTTGGTGAGTTTGGCCGCAAAGCCTGAAAATCCATGTCGATAACTATACACCATTGACTTATGGGCATCGTCTTTACTGTGACACAAGAATAAAAATCTTCAGTAAGAGCTTTAGACATAATGCGACCCATTGGCATTGAATCAGCTTTTTACCTTCCAAGAAGTGAAGACAACATCTGGTGATGAGATTCTGTGACAAATTCAGGATCATCATGCTGCTTCTCACCGAGATACACTATATGAACCTATACAATTATCATCACAACACAACCAGAAGTTGGTTAAAACCTATTTTCCTTTATATGTATGATAAAGAATATCAAATTTACCTTGCTCTTAGCACTAGCTCGTGCGACATTCAAAACTATTATCAGACTTAGCACCACAAGAACTGATGATCTAAAATTCCTCATTCCAAGCAAAAAGTGTTTCCTTAATTTTCAATCTACATGGAAACTACACGAGGAAGCACGAACATATATATATAGATGTTTCTCCAAGAATGTTTACATTTCTTGGACATGGTCTTTTCCCATGTTCTTCTATTATAATCACATTTTAGAATCTAAGGAATGTTTTACACTAGAGAAAAAAAAAAAAAAAAAAAAAAAAGGAATGTTTTACACTGTACAAGGTCAACTAAATTCTAGTTTATAGAAACGTTTAGAGTCAACACAGGATTCGACAGAGATTACCAGCAAATAAAGCCACCGTAGCTCCTATGAGATGATTGATAATCTGTAAAAAAACTCTGTTCTTCTGGTAGTGGCAGTGCACTACTTGGTATCATCCATGCCAATATCCTAAGCTCTGTAGAAAAAGTCTCCCTGATCAAAAAAAAGATTACTTGCAGTCCATTATCGGCAATCAACATACAAGGCGGCCATACGACGCGGGTAGGAAGTAATAATGTTAATCAAAGCAAAAACCACTAGGTCGATTTGTATTATTGGTTTATTAACATATGGGCAAGGAATATGAACTTGCTTAATACAAATTATTCAAGGTAATAAAAATCATTCAGTTCTCATCATAGTAGTTTTGCAGAATCTGCGTTCTCACAGACACAGGAATAGTCACATTATGCATAGAATCTGTCCATATCAAGTTTCCAAAGTAGAATCCAGTGTTGATTTTGTGTGTAGTTGAGACACCAACCGTGAAGGAGACACTTTTGGTTTTGGAGTTAAACACTAGTGTCTCCGGTGTCACAACCACTCGAATCCCAAGCGGAGGGTCGAGCACGACCTTGTAGACAGAGTCGACTGGTCCAACATTAGTAACGGTTCTAGTGAGAGTGACCTCGTCTTTAAGGTTTGGGATGGTGATTGAAGGTAAATTGACATCAAGAACGGAAGGTTTGGGGTTTGAGCAGACTGTTACGTTACCGACAAGCTGAGTGATAGATGAGTCGTTGTAACCGGCGGAGCATAAGTAAAGAATGTAGTCTTGTGTGCCCATGTCGTATATGAGACCTGGTTCTGCTGCTTTCTCAGCGTTCACAACGCCTCCACCGTAATCAAACGGATCAGCTACTTTGCGAGATGACCCTTCAGCAAAAATCTGCTCTCCGAATGGATCTGTTCTCCAAGCTGCAAAGTAGTGAACACAATTATTGATACAAGTGTGTCCATTGGGGAATTCAAGGTTTCTCTTTCTATCAGTTGTTCTGTTATTGAATGAAAATACGAACCTGTAGTGACAATAGCTG